TTTTGAACCCGATCTTTATTTATCCGGGTGCGGGAAACAGTGTGAAAAATGCATGCAGTTTTTGTCAATTTTTTTTTGCCTGCCTCCAGAAATCAGCTAACCTGACACGCCAGACGGACAGTTCCATATATCCGCCACGGAAATATTTCACAAGTCCATCTGGGAAAGAGCCGTTCAAAAAAGTTTTCAGAGGAGGAACCTTCAAAAAAAAATCTGCGGCTGCTGATTGGACGATGGTTCTTCTCGTCACACTCATCACCGACCAATTGGGTCTTTCCCATCTTTTTCACGACCAGAGGAGCCAGCTGGTAGATCAAACTCTTACCGAAACCGGTCGGGAGAAGAGCAAAAACATCGTTTCAAGTCAGAAAAGCTTTTAGTGACGTTCTTTGCTCCTCTTTTAATGAAGAAATTGAGTCTATTTCTGATAAAACTGCTGATATTGACCCATCCACAGGAACTGCTTCGCACGCCGCCATTGTATTCAAACATAAAGTTGCTTCCTGGTGATGTCACGTCTGCAGCTCCCGCCTCTCTTTACCCTGATTGGGCCGTAAAAAATTTAGCGTGAAATTGTTGGACGACGGTAGTTGGCAAGACGGACCTGCAGGATTTCAGACAATGAATCAGGCAGGGCCGTCTGCTCTGCAAGGCTAGAAATCAGCCGCAAAATCTCAACTTCACCCTCCAGTGTTGTCATTGGACACATACCTTTACGTATTTTGGAGGTAAGAAAGAACAACAAGCTATCACAGCTTGGATTTCTAGTCTTAGCCTCTGGACAGACAGGGTGCGTGCATCTCAGAAACCTCACTGTTGTCTTCGCTTGTAAACTAGCATGCTAGGTTTCCAACTGCTTAGGTAGCTACCACCCCTAAATATAAGTGCAGAGGATATCATGGGTGAGGGTACATTTTACACAAAGCTAATTAGATAACGTGCCTTGTATAACGTTACACTTTGATCAGCTAGCAAAGGTTTTCGTTACCTTATGGTTGTAGCAGACTGGAGCAAGCCAGAAGGCGAAACCTTTTGCTAGCAAGTTCATCAACACAACCTTAATGTTTTAGCACGTTTTCAGCACTTTATTTCTGTCAAGTAATGTTCACATTACCATATGGTTGTTACGCGAGTTGGCTGGAGCTTGCTAGCAAGTGCAAAATTTTGCCAGGCATTAAATTTTCACTAGATCATTGCACTGACATAAGAAAACAGCTCATGGAGTGCATTGTGGTGGTTTTTGCCTTACAGCAAATACATAAAGAGGCCATGGGGGTGACACCCAGATATCTATAGCTGCTATGTGAAAATGTGAATGATTTGTATATCTCTTATTAATACAAACCATACCCTTAGAAAAATAAATAGTTTCATTATCGGCGAATTGCCCTGCTAATAACCGACTTCGAACAGTCAATGCGTGCAAAGGATGGACAAACATCACAAACAATTATTTGATTTTCCACAATGTTAAATAGGCCCATATTATTGATGCGCCAAAAAATGGGGGGAGGGGGGAACTACTTCCGAAAGAAGGTTCAGCTGATTTAAATGGAAACACCCTGAAACTGTAGCTAACAGTGTGTACTTCAGCCTTATCATCACTGTATGTTTTCAAGCTCAAAGTGCCGGATTGCAGAACCAAAGTAAAAAAAAAACCTGTCGCAGTCCAATGAATTATGGTGCTCACTCTCGGCTTCATTTAGGCTTCATCCATTATATTTACAGAAAGCAGTAACAAGATTCACATATACCCACCCTCATGATAGTACCCACCCCCCAAACACACAAATACACACATTTGTGACTGAAACACCTCCCCCTGATGATGAATCATGTTTTTGTCGAGAGCTCCAAGGACAGACTCCGGGATGTTGACAGGACACAGCTGTAAGTCCCAGGTCACAGCCGTATGGTTTGCTGATGTGGGATCTTGCTTTCTCTGGTCTACAGATCTTCACTGAACTCCATGACTCCCTCAAAGCCATTGTAGGTGAAGGAGGGGAGGTGCTGGTGACAGGTCTCCTGGGCGATACAGGCCATCTTGTTGTTCTCACACTGTTCTGGGGAATCGGGGTGGATGTACACGGCGTCTGGCGAATCCACTGATGGATCTTGATCAAAATAATTGTGCGGTCTCAGGATGACCCCTCCGCCGTTGCCAACGGTTACAGTGTTGGGGATGTCCTCTGCATGTGGGATGTGGAGGAACCCTGTGGTCACCCAGGCAACCAGATCCTAGGAGGAGTCAGACACAGAACAAAGATCAGGTTTGCTGACATCATCGCAAACATCCACAGAGCATCATCAACTCTCAGACAGAAGATCTGTTTCATAATCAAAGACAGAAAACATGTCCTTTAATTATTTCTTTACAGTATGTGAAGCTTTTAGACTTCTGTAGGCTCACTGAAAGAAGAAATGTTCTATAGACACAAATTGAACCTTCCTGCCTACATGTCATGAATAAAAATGATAAGAGAACGGTTTTCATTGAGCAGGAATGAACAGGACTAAGCATACCACATCAGAGAGGCTCATACGACATGATTGACAGGAACCTCAATACCAGGAGCCTCAAACTCCGCTCTGGGGCCATATGCCAGATTTGTTGGGTTTCACCTTAAAGGTCCCCTATTATGCTGATCCTTCTTATAATACATACAAGTAATGTAATAATGTTGGATGTCCATACTCAACCTCTGATAAATTTCTAAACATTAGATTCAGGGGTTTTGCCGTAATCCGAGAGCGTGATTTTCTCAATGTGATTTCCTCTCTGAACAGCTCATCCCGAGATCTTCACGAGATTTGGGCAAAACCTGACGTCAGGTTGTTGCGTCCAATCAGGGCAGACCTGGCCAGAGCCAATCACAGCGCTGGACCTGCCCACCCCGGAATTTATTCTATCAGACACAAATGAGCCGGAATCATTTAACGTGTAGATTTATCAGTATGTCTCCCAAAGCTGTTCGTACGTGTTTTTTTGGATGCGAAAAAAAGCACACCTATTTTCTCTTCCAAAAGACAATGCCACCAGAAATCAGTGGGTAGCTTTTTTGTTTGCCGGCGGTAAACAGCCACACTCAAAGGGAACGTTGGCTGTTTGTGCTTGGCATTTCACCAAGGACTGCTTTGTCAATAAAGGATAACTCTACACAGGATAAGCGTCTCAGCTGCTTCTCAAACCTGGAGCAGTTGCATCGATCAAGCGCTCGGAGCCACAAGCTGTAAGTAACGATATAACAGCAAATAATGTAAGTGAAACTAACGTGTTACGGGTGGCTAACAGGACCACTAACGATAGTTAGCACTAACAACTGGCCTCAAACGCAGGCTTTGTAAAATATCTGAAGATAAAGCCTGGATCGGTACCAACTGTCCGTGACTCACAGACGCGGAAGCAGTTAGTTTTACCATTTTGTGTTGCTTTGCTGCGTAAGCCTACCTAACGTGATAGCCTGTTGAATGTGGCTGTAGCACTTCGGCTAATATAGCTAAGTTACTGTTGCTAATGTTCATGTCCTAAATATGCAAGAGTAAATAATATCAAGGAGACATTCAACAGAAGGTGAGTGAACTTAAACTTCATTTGAAGCTAACTTTTTATACTTCTTTGTAATTTGGACGCTTAGTGCAACAGTTCACGGTAACGGAACTTATGTTTGTAAAACCTGTATTGCAGGGTAACGTTTGTTTTTGTCGTTGTTATGAACACTCGGGTACTAGCTACTGCATGTTATTTTGCGTGCCCTGCTACTTAAAAATGCTCCTGGTTAACTTATATGCAGTAAATCTGATCAGTATGCTTATGTTACTTTGGTTAGCATCAATGTGGCAGTTTCATCATAACCTGATTTTAGCCACTACAGTTGAAGCTAACCGGAGAGGTGTTGTATGTGTCTGCAAAGTTGGGCTGAAAAGGCTGCAGTTAGACCAGACATAGGTTTTGCGGAGCTTGGGGTGCATGTTTGGGTGCTTGTGAAATGATCGTTTTACTTATCCATGACCGGGGTCAGCTGGGTACTTTGCCAATATGTGGGCTAGCTCTCTGATGTTACCACGGTGAAAGCAATCGCAAAACGCACAAGCTATAACGTGTCTGGTATAACAAACGGTTTCTCTGCATTGCCACTGCGGAATTCCATTCCCCTTTAAAAATTGTTCTGGCTAATTAAAAGCCGAAAAAAAGTGGAGATTGCATACAGAATTCTTTCCGGTACAAGTTATCAAGTCATTAGCTCCACATAAGCAGCGCTTACACTGTTTGTGTGTTTTTGCTACAAGCTCATTCAGTAGCTTGGTTTTGGAATTGTGTTTTGTTTTGGTAGAAATGGTCATCAGGAGCTTTTAGCAAAGTTTCTTCTGGATAAGTGGGTATATAACATGACTACATAACAATACAGCTACAACCACACGCATGCAAGGTGAGACAGCATAAGCAGAACACTAAAATTTCTCCCATTCGGGGTCGGATTCGGGATCAAACATGTACGGTCTTACAGCAATAGATGCCGCAGAGAGTTGTTCTGGAATACCTGCCATCTTGGTTTCCTGGTTTTTCGGGTCTGCACCCTCCCCCGGAATCGCAGCAGCCAGGCAGCCAATCAGAGCAGTGCATCATTAGCATAGCCCACCCCCACCCCCATTTCAAAACAGCTCGTGTTTCAGGCCGGCACAGACGGGGCGAGAGAAGAGGTCTCACTAGGCCTGGATGTATGTGGTTTTTTTTTTGTAACTGAATTCTTCACATTATTTTAAAGACCCATTGGACATGTTTTAAACGACTAAATACAGCATAATATGGGACCTTTAAGAACAACTAATGTAACTAATCAAGCCCATGAGTCGTTGCTCAGGTGTGCTTTAAGTTTCAGTTAAGTTAACATAACTGACAGACTTGGGTCTTCGGACTCAGGCGCAGACAGAAGTTCAGTTTCACAAAGTTTGTAATATCCAGGCTCAGGGTCAAATAGTCTGATTCTTTAAAACCAGTGGGGGGCGGTATGGCTCAGGAGGTAGAGCGGGTGGTCTAGGAATCAGCAGGTTCCTGGTTTGATCCCCGGCTTCCCCAGGAAACATGTCGAAGTGTCCTTGAGCAAGACACTGAACCCCACGCACTGAACCCCACACTGAACCCCACACTGAGCACTGCACTGAACCCCACAGTGAGCACCGCACTGAACCCCGCACTGAACCCCACACTGAGCACCGCACTGAACCCCACACTGAACCCCACACTGAGCACCGCACTGAACCCCACACTGAGCACCGCACTGAACCCCACACTGAACCCCACACTGAGCACCGCACTGAACCCCACACTGAGCACCGCACTGAACCCCACACTGCTCCTGATGTGCAGGTTGGCGCCTTGCATGGCAGCCTCTACCATCAAGGTGAATGAGAGGCGTAACTAAAGCATTTTGTGTCGTAAGACTAGAAAAGCATCACATAATTGCAGTCCATTTACTATTTACCAAAACATGAGAGAAAACATGAGGACTGCAGAAGAAAGACTGTCGGCAGAATCAGTGCTGATATACAAGCAGGAACCCAGTGACAAGGTTGGCTGAGTGCAACACAAGTCATGTAACAAACAAAAGTTTGTCACCAAAATGGGACACTGAGGGCAATAAAAACTCATAAGACTGTAATACAAAGAGAATAAAACCAGGAATCAGACACTAGAAATAAAAGGCTTGTGAGCAATTGAGAAAACACAGAGACAAACTTGCAAAGGGAACTGAATCTGAGGGCTACTTATCCACAAGAAAACTAGTTATTGAAAATATCACAGGTGAGACACAGGGGAACTGAGCATATGAGGGCGTGGCTACAAACAAGGAAATGATTAACAATAATCACAGAGTGGGGGAGCCAGCAGGCAGCGGAAACAAAACAGACACATGCAGCAAGTCAATAGAGAAAATGACAACAGATTGATAAAAAAACTCGAAATGAAAAATATGACAAGAAAATTTCCGCTAGAAAATTTGAAAGTGCCACGGGATGGGGCGTGGATGTGAGGCAATCCTGCATGATGGCCAGGCTCCAGATTCATTGACAGCTCCATTATGACCTAAGGCTGTGGGATGGGAACTAATCGGAGCTAATCAGGACAAGCAGAGAACATACCAGTTGGATCATAGCAGTTACTGTGTGCCCATGCTGTGGTATCAGAGTATTGCATGTATGTTTGTGTCTGTATAGTATGTGTGTGTAAATTTGTGTGTGTGAGGATACGCTCAGGAACCAGACGCGAGAACCAAGCAGTGCAGTAGATGAACGTTTATTAAGCGAGGGGGGAAACCCCCGCAGGGCAGAAGGCAAAAGGTACAAAGTCCACAATCCAAAAATCACAATCCAGTAGGGCAGAATAAGAGTCGAAAACCAGGGCAGCAATCACAGTACTCTTGGTCGGGCAAAAACAGGTTCGGTACACAGGCACAGGCTTGTCAGAGAAGCAAAAGCCAAAATCCAGTGGGCGTAATCCAAACCGTTAACAGGGCAGCAAACACAAAACTCGTAGTCGGGCAAAAAGGGTTCGTAATCAGATGCAGACAATAGTACCAAAAAGCAGAGCCAAAAATCGTAAGTCGGACGGTCCAGTCAGAAGAGTAACACTATGAGTACAAGGCGAAAAATGATAGCAACACAGGTAAACAAGGGAACGTTCTGACGGGGAACTGCAGTGAGAAGACAGCTTAAATACACTCAAGGGAAGTCACATGCTATGATAAGGATCAGGTGATGAGGATCAGACTAATTACGTGGGAGGAAACACAAGGGAGAACCTAACCACATGAAATTGGCAAAAGCCAAAACGCGGACAGGGAACACAAGACAGCCTATGACAAGACATACAGCTCCGGTTAGGGAGTTCTAATGTGCACAGATAATGAGAGGCAGGACAGAGTGGAGCAGGTGCGGAGGATCCGCTGAATAGCAGCAAAAGACTAAGTGCAGGCAAGAGGCGGAGACTAGAACAGGGCGAAAAGCTGAGAGCTTGTTAATCAATTAGTAAGTGCAGCTATACAATCCCTAGTGCTCGTTAGTAAGTTAGTATGATATACAATGTTAGTCTGGGTTAGTAACTTCAACAAAAACAACAAACTGTTAGTATTGGTTAGTAGAACAGAAAAGAGAGGCGAAGGAAGCAAACGAGATTGGAAGGAATGTTTGAAACCCAGAAACCATGAAATCACCTAAGCATGTGCCACGCAGGACTGGGGAGAAGCTGTAGCTTAACAAAAGACCAGACAGGGGAGACAAAGTGCAATGAAGGGTATGAACAAAGACATGGACCGGAATCTAACAGAATAGTGGATTGGGAATGGCAAAAACGAAAACATGGCAAAACCTAACGGACATAATCATAAACATAACAGAGAGTGGCAGAATCATAACAAACATGGCAGAATCATGACAGAACAGATTAGAATCATAACAGTGTGTATGGCTGTGTTGGCTGTAGGTAACATCACATAGTAAGTAAGTAAAAAAAGTAAGTAAAACTTTATCTGTATAGCACTCTTCCCAGCACGAATGCACAGAGTGCTTCACAGAGGTGAAATAAATAAAAAATAAGAACATGCAAAAATTTCACAGGCAGACACAATAATAATAAAAAAACACACACAATGAGCAGGAAAAACCATGAAATAGGCTAAATATGGCTGAAAGTCTGTCTGAATAGGTGTATTTTTAACCATTTTTTTTTTTTAAATGAGTTCAGAGGATGAGGCTCTCAGGTCCGGGGGCATTCCAGAGCCTCAGCACCACCGCCCCAAAGGCTCTGTCACTCTTGGTCTTTAACCTGGTCCGAGGCAACACCAGGAGCAACTGGTCGGTTGACCTCAAACACCGGCTGGGCAAATATTTCTGGTGAAGCTCAGAAATGTAAACTGGGGATTCTCCATGGAGGGCTTTGTAATTGAGCGCCAGGACCTTAAATTGGATCCGGATGTGTACTGGGAGCCAGTGTAGAGAGGCTAGGATGGGAGTGATGTGACATGACTTTTTCGATCTAGTGAGCAGTCTTGCTGCAGCATTTTGGACAAGTTGAAGCTGGTCTACAGAAGATTTGTTTAGGCAGGTAAACAGAGAATTGCAGTAATCAAGTTGTGATGAAATAAACGCAGGAACAGGCATTTCCAGTTCAGAGTGTGATATAATGGACTGTAATTTGGCAATATTTCTAAGGTGAAAGAAGCAATCCACCCTTATATGTGTTCCTGTGTGTGTGTGTGTGTGTGTAGAGTTGTAAGCTCAGGTGTGTGTTTGTCTGTGTTTGAGTCTATGGTTGTTTGCTGTGGTATCAAAGAACTTCACAATTTGTGAAAGGTACAACCACAGAACTTTAATTTATGGAATGACCATTTCCATTCAAATCAACTTTCCAGGACGGTAAGAGCGGTGGCCATTTTTTTGTATACCGCGCAGTATTGTTGGGCTAGCTTCCGTGTTCACTGACTTCCATATACACTGACTTATGGCAAGAGGGGGTCACAAGCGGCTGCAAGAAGTTTCGCAGTGAGACAAACCATTAACATTGTGGAAGAAATGAGTCGGAAAAAAGACTGTGGATGATCATCATCAGAGATCACGAACGCTTCTCATGAAGTTTCATTGTAAAGAATTGACTGTTGAACTCATAGCTGTGTTGAATTGTGTAGGCAAGAACATTTCTACACGCAGATTATGACAAGAACTTTGAGGACTGGGACTGAACAGCTGCGTGGCCACAAGAAAGCCACTTATTAGTGAGGCTAACATGGAAAAAGACACTTCGAAAGACAGCACAAAGATTGGACTGTGGAGTAGTGCAAAAAGGTCATGTGGTCAGATGAGTCCTGATTTACATGGGTGATGCCATGAGTGCGTCAGGGTATAAGATGAAGCCCATGAAGTGATGCACCAGTCATGCACAGAGCCCATTGCACAAGCCTGTCGAGGCAGATTATGATCTGGAGTCGCTTCAGCTGGACAGGTCTAAGCTCAGCTACGTTACACAGCAAATAAAATGAAGTCACCAAACTTCCTGAATGTACCCAATGACCAGGTTATCCCATCAATGGATGTTTTTACAACCTGATTGCACAGGCATATTCCAGGTTGACAATGCCAGGATATCTCAGGCTGAAAATGCAAAAGAGAGGTTCAGCGAGCATCAGGAGTCATTTTCACACATGAATTGGCCACCGAAGAGTCCTGACCTTAACCTACTGAAACTCTTTGGGATGTGCTGGAGAAGGCTTCATGGAGTGGTTTGTCTATCCCTCAGTCAATACAAGATCTTAGCCTAAAATTAATGTAACTATGGTCAGAAATAAAAGTTGCCAAGACTAATTTGCATCATGATCAAGGCTAAAGGTGGTCCAAAAAAATATTTGAGTGTGTGAGTTATTTTTTAGCCAGGCAGTGTAAATTGTCCCCATAGGTTCGAAATTGTGCGATTTAAAAGGATTTGTAAGAGATTTTTTAAAGAATTTTCAGGGCTGGCGCGGTGAGAGTGTAGTTGTCATCTCCCACTCTGGCTCAAAACATTCCGTCCCATGAAAACCCATTATAATCTCAAAAACTCTAAAAAAAATAAAACTTATGGTGCCACTATATAGAAATAATTATAGCTATTAAAAAAAAGGACTTACCAAAAAAAGTTTCAAGTCTTTCTACCCATTTAAAGTTTCAACCGTCTTTCTATGTTAAGGTATGGCGATGTAATGAGACTCTAAAGAAGGCTGGGTTTGATCACTTTTTCCACTCCTGCCCATTTCCTTTGAATGAAAATTTTGGAATCTTCGTCACCAAAAGACATAGCATAGCAATCTTGATTACGCCCCATGTTTGATATGCATTTTGCCAGAATAATAAATACGACAAATAAAAACTGTGCCTCTGTCTTGGCTATGCTTTGCATTACTGAAGAGATGAGGGCCTCTGTGCGATAGCCCATAGTGCAAATAAACAAATCAAGGAACAGTGACAGTGCCCCCGCCCCACTATCGCCACCAGGTGGCTAACCAGTTTTTTTTTTTTTAATGTCTTCTCTGAAAGTCTTTGATCTGGGTT